ACAGAAAGCACTAGCACCAGCTTTAAAGTGTGTCTATAAAGATAAGAAAAATATATTTCCTAAGTCCAGCAGTTTTCAAACAATATATTTTCAAGTTACAGGAATGCTCACCATGAGGAATTAAAAAATTGAGGTGAGGAGGGGGACAACATTTCTTCTAAAATGTTAATGAGCTACTGCTTTATAAAGTGAAAATAATCAACAAATCTGACATATGAACAAATATTATGAATATTCAGGAAGTTTAAGCTGCTGATTCAACATTTTCTAAGAGTGTACAACTTTTGCACTGATCACATAAGCTATTATTTTTCTTTTCATCATAAGTACACTCTACTGTGGTGTCGGTGTGTTGTTGTAACATACGCATTGAATTGCAAGTATTGTAATTCATCCAGATGGCAGGAAGCTTTGGAATTGTTACTCCTATGGTACAGATGTTTAACAATCTAGCCATATGGCTGCAATAAGGCAGCCTTTTCAAAGATTATAAAAACTACACTAGATATGCAGCCTTGTAAATTTGAGTGCCATCCTGAGGTATGAATGTTCATATTGCTATAACATAGAAGAATACATCATACTATGAAGTTGACATGGCTATTGGAATTACAGAATTTATGAAACATTATTTAAAATCCTGAAAAGAATCAGGTCCCAAATTTACATAATTTCACCAAGTCAGCTATTAAAAAACATTCCTCATTTGTTTTTGAAATTCATTAAGGGTGTCAAACATAGGCTAGCTGAAAAGATGGGTAAATAACTACAAGCAAATATAATAATGACCCTAACCTCTGGCCTGACTGAACTACCACTCTAGGTGACAAATTTATATTCAACCAGTAAGACCAAGAATTTCTCTACAAAAAGGTTTGTAAAAGTCAAGGAGCACTGATGATGGTTGTGGCAATTATAATGTGGAAAGCTGTATGTTGAGAAACAATCTGAGATCAATAATATCTTGGCCAAGAAAGGAAAGAACCATGAAATGGTCAATCTATAACTCTGCTGAATTTTGGCAGGTTTGAGTGACAGATAAATGGCAGCAAATAAGATTGTTAAATCACTAATCCTGTCATTATTACATCCTGTCACATTGCATAGATTTATACATTAGAAAAAAGTGTAAGGTATGAGAGTGAAAAATAAAACTGTTAAAAGCTAAAATATCTCAATCTATGAAGAAAAGGTGAATTCCCGAGTTTGTGTTTCGTGGTTGTTTTTTTCTGCCAAAAAGTCAGATATAAGTAGATGCCACTTGTAGTCCCATCTTGCTTTTCTCTGATGCTTGGGTCTCTGACCCTTTGTTAGCTAGAAGAAACGTCTCTTTTATATAAATCTGTAGTGCAAGAATAAGATTAAAATGGACAGACTGAACAAAGCATTGGTGTCTCAGACAAAAATGTATCCATTTAGTACACAGGGGATCTTTCCACCTGACATACTCTTAAAGGGAAGTATTCAATTACCATCTACTCAAAGGGTAAAAATCACAAAAAAGCCATGTAATATTCCTTTTCTTCTTTTTTTTGAGCAGCAAAATATTCAGAGATGCTTTATCTACCACAGATACTAATCTAGGCAATATAATTTTAAAACATCCTTACAAAAACCTTGAAGGGAGTTGAACCCTGTGGTTGTTTAAAAAGATTTCCTGCAGTTTATGCATTTGCTCTGCCAAAAGCTTACCTTAGCATACAAAGTATAGTAAATCATAGTTGCATTGATTTACTACCCAGACAAACTATGCTGTTTGTTTTCAGGGACAGCTCAGTGAAACGCTATGTCATGTATAAGAACATTCAAAGGGAATCGTTTTGCAAAACTGCCAGAATGGTAGCAACCATTTCTAAGACATCAATGGAAAAAAAATGCAGATGTGCGTTTGCAGCATTTTTCAGGTGGTATTTTTTGAATACCATTACAAGCCAAAAATATTCCAAGCTCTTTAGGGGCACAAAGACAATTTCATACCCCAAAATTTGTTTAGCCTAAGTACTAATGGCCAAATGTATAACTTACTAGTCAACAATTTAAATTATTTGACCTTGTGCCTGAATTCCACATTTTATGGGGCAGTAGCATACATAGATCTCAAAAACGCAAAAAGACACCAGAGAAAGAGTGGCAGAACAAGAAGCTCTGGGTCAACCTGATTATTTAGAACTGAGGGTGGATTTTATTAGACCTAATCCATTCAGTAAGTCCCAACAGGAGGACAAAGATAAAAACATATATCTAACATTCCTTTAAAAATAGTAAATGAGAAGGGAAAAGATCAAAACAGTAGCTGAAAGCCTTCACTCTTGCTTTAAAATCCAAGAAACAGTCATTAATAGAGATTTAAACTCAGCCTTCTCTAGTCTAAACATGTCACTGTTAATTACAAAGCTATTTAACTTTTGCAAGAAATAAAGACTGCTATTAATGAAAGAAGAACCAATTAGCCTTTAATCTACACACTGTTTTTTAATCAAACTTTCTTTTGATCATCAGACTCACTGCGGGATGTATTCTCTCCTCCCCATGTTGTAGTGGCTTCCATGATTGCTAATGGAATAGATTTTAAAGGGCTGGCTGAGTGGGGAGAACCTTCTCTGCAGGGCTGGAACTTCCTTCCCTTCACGTCAGTGGGGCTTAGTGGAAGCACACTCATCTCCGAACCATGCTGCCCTATGACAGCATAGGCAAGTGGAATGATTTTGATGGTGTCTCCTGACCTCTCTCTTGTAGCAGCTGCCATTAAAGGAGCAGGCATTGAACATCTCTAGAGGAATGTGGGACAGGAGTACTAGACTAACTTGTTATGAAACAGAAAGAAAAGAAAGAAATGGGAAAAGAAAAGAAAGAAATGGGAAAGGAAAGGTAAGGAAAGAGGCAAAAGCAGGGACGTGCCACCAGCAATGAAACAGAATTCACGGCTGACTGCAAAGAACGATGAGTGGGAGAATTTGCTTGTTGGCACAGGAACGTATTGTGGAAAAACGAAACAATAAAAAACTAATGGGACCAGGGCTTGATGTGTTAAAAACAAAAAGGATGATGTGAAAAGAATCACATTAGCTAAATATTCTTGTGCCTTCAAACTATTGGTTGCGGGGTCAGAGAGTTTTGATGAGGTTTTTTGTTTGGGTGGTTTTTTTCTTTGGCTGTGTGGCTACTTGTGGTATCAAAACAATAGGATGAATTATCTAGAATCAATCATGATGGAGAACTTCCTTTACATCATTTCTCTCTCAGCTCAGATCTCCCAGGAAGGAGGATAGATAGAAAATGTCCCTGAGGCATGCACTTTGCATTTATGACCGTGCAGATAATGAAATATAAGAACCTGACTCTTGCACACGTGAACAACAGAGAGAATGTATTATCTGCACTGTGTCAAACATGAAACTCCTGGACCGACCAGATACCTGCTGTCTGTTCTGCATTAGCAAAACTTTGGTGTATGGTGTATGCTGCTCTTTCTCCATAATATAAAGACAAAATTTGCCTGGCAGCAGCAGAACTCTTGAGTATTAATGCCAACAAAAAAGCACTTTAAAATAAATGTTAATATCCTCAAAGAATCAGAAAGTCTGCAGAGATCTCCTGTTGTTGCAACCAGTATGGGAATTAAAAAATTAAAAAAACAATAGATTGCAGAGAGGAAAGTGAAAATAAATATGTTCTGTGCCAGACAGGATTTTGAGTCACAAAATTCAAGTTGGTAATAAATGTATGTGGAACAACTGCTGTGGAACAACTGCTGAAATGATATTGACACTTGAGAAATTTAAAGGTAAGTACATACTTAACATAGGAAGGATTTTAGCAAAGACAATATGTTACATTAAATGTTTTTCAGGACTTGAGTAACAGCATTTTGCACTTCAAAAGATCATATTATTACTCTCTTTGTAGAATAAGGCTAATTCCAACACCTTATCTCAAAGGGCTGGTAATTTTTCACAGTCCAAAGCCCCTTTAAAGTAACTGTTTGGCATAAAGTTCATTTAAAATGAGATTAGGGTCCATTCATATTTCTGAGGTGCTCATATATTACAATATAAGTACAGTATAGGAACTCAGATAAAAGATAAAAACACCAACAGAACTAGACAGAAATAGCTTTAAAGCACTGTGTCAAGATATTTAAAGTTAGCTGGGTAATTGTATCATTTTCACATTTAAATTATTCTATGGCATTCTAAACCTGTCAATAAAATTTGGGTTCTCACGCTGATCAAAACCTCCTTGTGTTTTTCTTGTGTCATAATCCCATTCTAACAAGATGTAGACAAGAGATCCCCAGCTCCACTCTCCTTTTGAGCAGTGTAGCAAACGCATTTTGTCTCAGAGTACTTAGAAAGCTGCAATACTGAAAACACGTGACATTAATGTACAGGACATTTTTAATTAACAAAGCTCTTAGGTGTTGCTGAAAGATCTATTTTGCTTTTTGTCCCCCTCAGACTATCTAACACACTCCATAGCTTTTTATTTACTTATATAGTGCAATTAGGACAAAGTTCTCCTGACATCTCCGAAGCTTTAAAAAGAGCAAAATTATTGACAGGAACCATGTGAAAAACAATGAGATTTTAACTGTTCTTACCTGAAGTAAGAACTTTCAAAGTTAAGAGGCAGAAACTTTACGCTGCTTCTTATACCATGTAATAGCTCATTCCTAAGAGTGTTCTCAGTTCCCCTAATCCTTTAACATTAGTGTGTACTTGCAAGAATTACTCCCCAAAGTAAGGTCCAATTCAAGAAAATACTCAGGAACTTGATTAACGCCCTCCCCAATGATTTCAGCAAAATTTTACTTGCTTGAAATGCATATACCTGAAATGACCTGAAATGTTCTGTATCTGAAATTCTGACTGAAATCAGTGGGACCTGAAGGTTCTGAGCAGCTCTGAAAATCAGCCCTTAATATTACTACTGCAAGACATCTTTAATTTGTCTACAGCTCCTCCAAAAATCACTTTTAATTGCCACATCTGAATCAAAGCTCTGTACATACGTATACAGTAGTCTCCACTTTCGTAATATCCAGGGCAGCACTGAGATCTTCGCCGATACATAGTTCTTAGTCCTCTTCGATATGCTGTTTTATAACTTATTCTAAATTGCAAGACAGAAAGCCATTTGACAATATTGAAAATCGATGCCTACTGTTGGAATTATATTTGTGTTAAATCATAGTAAGGATAGCATTCAATAATTATTTTAAAATGCATGAAAGCTTTTGATATTAAAAGCCACAATAAAAAAAAAAAAAATCAATACTTCTTTTGAAATTTGAAATATAACTTGTACTGTAAACACAGTACTCATGACAGTCAATCACTGTAGCCCTTCCTAGGACTGCTATCTTAAAACATTTCCCCAGTCCTAAAGCAAGGGCAAGGAGTTTCTTCAAGAATAAACAATTCATTTCCGCATATCAGCAAGATCAGCTATCATCAATGGAATGAACAGAATCTTCTACGGAGACCACTGTGTCAGCGTGCTACACAAGAAATTACCACAATGGAAACTGCTCTCGAAACACAAAATGTGAAGTTAACCCCAAGTGATTCCTTCCTACTTGCTAACACTTCCAAGGCATTAATGCCTTGCAAAATGACATTATAGTCCCAGTTCTGTATTTAAAGCATGTTTTCCCCACCAGAATCTCTCGTGCACAGAAATTAAAAGGTGTTAAGCATTCTGTAGCTTTTCTAGACTTATTCATAGCATTAGCAATGATACCACATTAGAGAAAATATTTAACAGCGAACACTTCAAAACAGCTTTGTTCATGTTAGTTTATTTGAAATTACCTAAATTGAACAAAATTGTCCCTCATGTTAGATAAACTGATTGAATTTATTCTGCTGCGTTCCAAGCTATACAATAGCCCAGAAAGCTCTGCATCTCTGTTCAATTCCATATGTTGTAACAGAGACGCTAAAAAGCAAAACCCCACAGACTGCGATGGTGCTGAACAACCTTTTTGCTACTGAATGCATGAAAGTTAAGGTACCAAGTAGCTTGCTAAAACTCCCTTGAAAGATTGCAAATGTTAGTGGATGTTTTTTAGGATACTCTTTTACTTGGAATCAGAATGAACGTAACAGTGATATCTAGAAGCCTTCAAAAAATTAACTATTTAGTATCAGCTTTCATTCAGTGCTAGAAGTGGACCCATCCTCATTTTACCTGATTTTCAATACAGATCTGGGTGCAGTATTTCATATATGGATCCATTTATAACCACCACTAACCCTCAAGTGCCTGATTCTTCAAGATTTAGGAGCTGCAGGGACTTCCTACCAAAAATCTGGACATGCACTGACCACTTGGAAAGGATAGTTAGTCATGTTTGGTCATGTAATAAAAACTTGCGATCACATGGCGGGGTGAATGGCAAGGATACATACTCCTGAATGGCCCCATAAGAGACTGACTACCATTGATCTCACTCAAATTTCATGCAAAAGTATCTCTACTTCAAACAGTGCCCTAGAATGCCAAACACCCTGGCTATTGTACTAAAATACATCTTTCCGTACATATCTATATTAAAGTACCACAAAAATTCAGATAAATGAAAGTTAAGTGAAGAGATAAAAAGGCAAAATAAAACTAAAATATCTGGGGATCAGCTCTTACCTATGTCTAGTGCACTTGAACCAGTTCAGTATGTCAGTACATCTTGTATAATAGATCTGATCAAAAGGATGAGCATAAGATTCCTGTACTGTCACAGCGTAGCTAGGAGTAGACAAAGAAAGTAAGTGAAAGGGTGTTTGTTGCAACATGAAAAACTTCAGTTCCCTATATATGCTACTCATCTAACTCCAATATGAAAAATAATTAAATCAATCTTGGAAACTTTGGGCAGTATCGAAAACCAGAAAAGCACTTCCTTCAACCACAGCTCTTCCTGAAAATTTTGGAAGTGCTTCTAACTTGGGCTGCATAACTGAAATAGGCATAGAGATTTCAGTCTGAGTAATAAACCATTCCATTCTGGAAAAGAAACAAATGTTACTAAAATTCATGATAGTTCACCAGGTGAAAAGGGCATGTGGTGAACTTGATAGTGCAAATTTTAAAAGAAAGGAAAGCACCATGTTTTTAAAATGTCTCAGTTCCCTTCCTGCCTAGAACTGTTAATTTTTGCTTGTATTCCACAATGTTATTAAGAGCTTATATTAACTGAGCAGTACTGCATTTTGCCAGCATGATGGGATGCTCACACTTCATTTTATGATGAAGCAGCATCATTACTTCAAATATTGGGTGCACCAATCAAATAGGATCATTTGTAAAAAGTTGAAGAGTGCTGTATTTTTCTGCTTTAATCCTTTTAATTTGTAGCAGAAATAACCTTAGAACTATCTGGGTTAACATGAGTTAACTGGTATCTAGATTTGGAACACTTTGACATACAGTTAGAATGGGATTACCTCCCTTTGTACAAATGAACGCACATAACCAAAACTGGTCAAAATGATCAGAAATCACAGAGCTCCAACAATACTAAGAATTCAGCAATCTCCTTCCCAAAACACTACTTATTCATGCAACAGGTACTGTATTAATTACTATGATTATATTGAAAGTGTCTGGGCCTCTCACATGATATAGGAACACAAATCTCATTGGCTTGTTAGCGTCAGTCATTTTAGAACATTGTAAGTGTGTGCACTGCTTAAGAGACTCATAATCTCACGTTCTGATCTGGAAACAAGCTCTACTTTATCAGATCTACAATATCTTTGGAGAATGATACTGAAATCATTGTAGGCAGGGTCAAGACCCAGGAATTAGATCCTCCTAGTCATTCATTATATCGATTGTCTTAATCATCCAAGTGATTTCCTTCTCATCAACAGGACTGCTGATGTGATTAAGCCCTGTGAGATTGCACCCGTAAGAGAATACCGAAATATTTGCTTGGAGGGTCTGATTGGCTTGAAATCGAAGATTGGACTATTACTGCCCTGCTTGTCATGCCCCTTCTAGACAAGCCAACATTCTATTAGATGTTGCTTTTGCCCTCTATCACAATTTGCTGGATTTGACAATAGTGTTTTTACTTCTACTAATGCCAAAATGTAAAATATTTACATTGCTTGTTATTAATGTGAAACAGTAACACTCACAAATCTTGATTATTATTTTACGATCGCGTTAGTTATCCAGCAATTGCCCTAATAATCTTTTCCCTTTGATTTATTAACATCTAAGTAACAAAGTCATCTTGGTCAGTACAACCAATCAATTTTGGTATTTAATTTTTGTTTCTCCTTGATTGGGTCTCTAGGTTGCTGACTTTCTTCAGACAAAATCAATATTTTATTCCTGTGCTCTGAATGCACTTTACCTCACAACACAGACTGCAAAATCCTATTCCTGTACAATCTTTGCTTTGCAGCTGCATTACCTACAAACAGTTAGTTCTCTAATTAAGGCCTCTAAAATCAAAACATAGTGCCATTAAAGTATGATTCCATTTTTGCTTTTGTTGAGGGGTTTATTTTTCTAAAGTGTACAGTAATTCATATTTGTGTGGAACTAAACCACAGAACAGAACTGGAAATTTAGCAAGTTAAACTTAAGAGTACAGGAACTTTAGCCTCTGCAAACAGACCCTGCATGAATGTGAACCCTATCAAAGCTAGCGGGTTTCTATGTACTCATAAGAACCGTCTTGCACAGATCCACTTTTAGGACGAGGACACTGTAACAATAGAGAGAACAGAACTACCAGGGCCTTTAATTCTCAGTGCTTTCATGCAGATACTCTTTGATGCTGACACGAATTTGGCAGATAAAGCCACAAAGTTCAGGCCATGCAGAATAAGCCTGCATGTTGCAGCAGGAAGGGCTTAAAACTTAGTTGAAATCTCTAATAGTGTTGCTTGACAACAACCAGAAAAAAGCAAGACAGAACAAGACCACCATTTCTCTAAGTCTCTCCATGATAAATGAAAATAGGCCTGTGCAGTCCTCTAGCTGAAACTATGAAGGAGATTTCCAAAGTATAGCTGAGCGAATAGGTAACACAGGGATATGTGATCTATAGCCCTAGCTCTAGAACCAATTCTTTGGGATGATCCAAATCCTCAAAGGCACTCAGAAGTGCTATTTCTGCCATGCAAATCCATGTTCTTTTGTGAGGCAGGGTGGTATTTAGCAAATGCTGGCTCTTATTTTGCCTTTTAAATGTAAAAATCTGAAACAGCTAGTAAAAAAAAAAAATTGGCATGTTATACATTACCTTTCCCAATGACTACAAACATTTGGATCATCTGGGTTTAGGGACAGGGTAGTTTTGAGCAGAAAAGACAGAATAAGCCCTTTTAGAATCCACCTGAACAGCATATGTGCCACCATTGTTGTATCTAGATAAAGAAAAGAAAGTATAGCCATTAAAGACAATTTTGAAAAAAACCTCGTTCTAGGCCTTTTCATCCTTGCTTTTGTGCAAATCCAAATACTGTGGAGTTATTTACAAACTGAAATACTTAAAAAAGCAATCAACTAAACAGTAAAATTCAAAAGAAAGTGCAAATGCATTCTAAAAGGAATTTATACATTTAGACCTACTAAAACCAATGAATTTGATAATTAAGCTACCCAAGATAATGATAGCCCCAATGATTCTTCCAAAGAACATTTCTGATACTGATCATTTTTATGGCTGGCTGGCTGTACCGACAAAATAAATAACTGAGGTATTAAAACAATCTATTCTCCCATCAACCTATAGGCAAATGGAAGAATACTCAAATACCCCCTTTGATTTATTTAAGTGGGTTTTACATGTGTCAATATAGTAGGCTAGACCTGAGACGTATGATTATTACATGATTGAAGGAAAATCAATTCACTTTTCAACTCTGAGATGGGGTGATCACTTAGAATGACAGAGGTCAACGTATTGGGTCACATTATGCAGAACACTAAACATGAAACGAAAATATTTGCATTGAAGTTGGAAATAGATTGTATAAAATTCATTAGGTGTGGTCTCTTCATCATCTTACAGTTCATCTATTAAATGTACTGACTTATACCTATTTATTGCTCTTTTGGGGCTTTGAAACCAAAGTCGTGGTGTTTGCCTAGAGGTCCCCAATGACGTCAGTCAAAAATACAAAATAGATAGGAAATACGAAGCTGCTTTTAAATGTAACTGCATCAGAGGTGTTAATCTGTTAAATGTTAAGTCAGTAAAAAACATTTTTAAATATCCATTTCAGGCGTTTACATCATCACATAAACCACCATTCAAATCAAAAGTCATATAAATTATTCCTGGCAACAAGATTGCCCTAAAAATAGATTGAATCTTCATATGATCATCTAAAAAACACATGGCTCATTGCCTCATGGTCCAGAACAGCAAAAGTGATGTTAAGGGGTTTGCTCTGCACGGCACTGATATACAGCCAGCATAAAGAAGTCATCACAAAGCAGAATGAACAGCAGAGGAATAGCCAGGAAAGCTGATCTGAAATTACCTCCTGATTCAAAGCCTTCTAAGCTAGTTCAAGGACACCCATTGCCTTTCGTGGATTCGAAGTCAAGATCCCAATGGGAGTAACAGCTCATCTTTTAAATTATTCCTAGAGCTCTGCTAAACCCAAAGATAGGTCTTAAGCCATGTAAGTCATATTAATGTTAATTAACATGATTTAATGTTAATGTTCCTCATGAAATGGATTTAAGCCTATGAGTGACTGTTCTCTACCTGCGGGCTGTTTCAAAGTCCCATGGCAACAATGCAACAGCTTACTCTGGAAATTAAGAGGGCTGACGAGAAAAGGACATGAGAGATAGTTGTGTTTATTGAAAAGACATTCGCTACACTTGTCCTAGACACTACTTCTCCATGGAGGAAGTGTCTTGAATGGCTGACCCGCAAGTGCTCATGGGACAAAAGTCCAACAAACCTAACGTTCAAAAACTGAGAGCTTGTTTGAGAGTAGAATTGACCATTCTTTTAACATAACGTGTACCAATAGATGTGAACTACCCTAGTATGAAGCTCAACAAAATGACAGACAGCCCTTTAACAAAAATATCTTCAAAAGATGCCTTTAATGTATTACACTAGCTACCATTTGAATAATACCAAATTACAGAGGACAAGTGCTACTGAGCACTGTATTTATAGGTTGCAATTTACCCCCTTTGTTCATTCTCTACACCTTTGGTACATGGTAACACTGAACAAATAGGACTAGAGGAAAGCCTGCTTCTAATCAACAGAAATGGTCAAAGCAAGAGCAAGGCAAAACTGTTTAAGGAAATACAATCCTTAAGAGAAGGGGGTTTTAAATCAAAACATAGTTCTGTGCTCAGTTTGTTAAGTTCTTGAGAACATCAACAGCCTGGGTTTATCCCTAAATTAGTTAAAGGTAGAAAGACAGCCTGTCTTCAACCTAAAGAGAATGAGCCTTTTCTCATTTAACTAAAGCAGCCCTCTGTTTGAATTCTGTAGTTCCCAGAGATCTCAATTTGTTCTTAAGAAAGCAATGTATCAGTTTAGTTTTTAAACCAAATAAACACCAAAAGAATTATTTATAAGCTTAATAGCATGCAGAGTATTTGTTTACAATGTATTTGAAAGAGGTTCAAAATTGTTTTCTAAACTTTTAAGGCTAATGGTATTCTATTATCTGTTTATAAATTAACTGCTTTGTGCAATTAATTTTATAACTTTGTAAGTCAGGTCGTATATCAGAAATATCCAACTCTCCAAAAACAGCAGAACCTCATTCATCTCAAGTGTCCCTTTTTCTAACTCAAATGAATTATTTCACTTTGATCACTGTTAATAGAAAAGACCTCATACCAAAATGGAACGGTTGCTATTACCAGATTCAGAATAAAACTCTAAAAATAGGAGCACATATATTAAAAACCAACATCAAAAAAGAATCCAGTAATGACATCTAATGTTTTTTTTTCAGCTTTTATTGCTCAGCGTAATATATACTACATTCCTGCATTGCGTTTAATGTCTGGAACATATTCTCCAAGGAGGCAGCATCAGCCTTTCAGAGGGACAATGCCTGTAACTTCATTAAAGATATAGCCAAATTATATAAACATTTTCAGTGTCTGCCACTGCCATTCTCCCAAGGACAGGCAGCCTTTTGAGCTTAACAAGAAAATAAATGACACATAGGTCCTCTTTGCAATCCCTAAACGGACTCGTAACTTTTTGTCTCTCCAGGCCTGATTTTTCTTTTCAGGAGTGAAAGAAGTCAATTTAGGTACAATTTGGCAAGAAAGAGGGTCTTTCAATCCAAAATACAATCTGGTGATTTTTCACAAGTGTCTCACTCTCTGTTAATTATAACTGATTAGGTTAGGTATCTGTTACTCATTAAGCCATTTTCACATATCTTGCTCCCTCCTTTTTGAATAAATTCACCTACAATATTGATACAGGTCACTGGTTCCATCACAAAAGAAAGGAAACACACTTTCACTGTTAAGCTCCAAATCTTAGCTATAGAAAAACTAGTAGGTGGCAAGTCATTGATTTATTTGTCTGTGGATTCACTTTACAAAAACCTTTGTTGAGAAAAATGTGCTGGGGTTTGCAAAGAGACCAGAAGATGCAGGTGATCATTTAAATTGGATGAAGTACATGAGAGTGTGGACAAAACCTGGTTGTTACTCTCTTTTGCAGATTATACAGCACAAGCTGAGGATGACAGTACCCCACAAGACTGGGACCTGCATGCGAAGAAAGTAAGACCCCAAAGAATCCTTGTTGGTGAAGCAAATATCCTCTAAAGCTTTCTCTAAGTGTTGAGGAGCTGGCTTTGGTAATATTCTCATGAAAGAGGACTAGTGTATACTTTAAGTGGCTGGGAGAAAAAAGAAAAAGAAAACCGAAACCACAGCTTAAATTTCTCCTCTGCTTCCTTGGCTGACAGACTAGAAAATTTAACTAAAAATGACCATTAGAGAATTTGCTGTTCAGGAGCAGAAGTAGTGAAACATTTCATTTTGACATTTCTGTCATAAAGTGTTTCATAACACGACTTTGACATGAAATTCAAACAGAATTTCCAGTCCATGACAAAGTTCTAAACTGAACACTTTTGTCTCAATTTGGGATGAAATGGGTTCTAAACCAGCCAAAAAACTGATTTGGTGTCCAGCTGTAATTAGGGAAAACATTTGCAGAAGTGTCTTTCAGTAGCATGCAATGCTCTTAAATCCTTGTATACTTTTGAAGATCATTCCTTTAGATGTCTAAATGTATATGCAGTCGATTAACCTAGCCTGAATTTTCCCCACAAACTTCCATGCAATGCATTTAACAAAGAAAGAGCCATGTTAAAAAGTCTTACCTCAAAGTGCTAAAAATTCCTAATGGATCCTGTTTTTACAGACTATCAGCACATGAAGACACACAGCACATTAACAGGATAGCAGAAGAAAGCTCTTCGGAAGTTGCTTGGCCCTGTGAGCAATCAAGTAGAAAAACAGAAAACATTGGGTCAAAGAAAGCATGTTTGGGGGAGTGGAAACAAATTAAGACAGAAATGAGATAAAGCATTCTAAATAGTTACATACTGTAAGATAATTGTGCTATATCAGACCAAAGACCACTATCCTGCTTTCAGCCAATAGCAAGTGTCTAGGAAAACACGTAAGATGACGGCTGATAGCAATACATCCCTTTTATACCCCTCTAGCCTCCAGCAATTTGCAGCTTTGACTTCCTCAGCTACGAGTGGTATCTTTGTGTTTAATAGCATTTGATGGATTCTATTCCAATAATTTGTCTAACCATTTAAATGGTAAATTTCAATCCCCTAAATTTAAATTTTAGTGTCAACAACATCCTGTGATGGTCTCACATCTTAGCCATGCACTGTACGAAATAATTCCTTTGTTTTCCTGTCTGCCTCCTCAGTTTCATTTGACGCCTCCTTGCTCCTCTGTTAGAAAACAATCATTGATTCTCAGACTCTGTTTCCTATCATTTCCTATCATATAAACAATAGTTTGTTTACATATAGACTTTTTCTTCTGTTATATCCCAACAAGAAAGTTCAGTTTCTTTCAGGAAGTTTGATGAAAGACCTGGCAAAAGCCTTCTGGAAAATTAACTGGATCTTCTTGATCCATATGTATACTTCAAAGAGCTTTAACAATTTATGAAGCCTTTACAAAGCCATGTTGACTCTTCATAAATGTATTATATTTATCAAGAGGTTCCCTAATTCTGTTCTTCATTATAGTTTCTACCAAACAGGAAAATCTAGGTGCATCAAAATTAAAATGTATTCTAGTATTCATCTGTGAGCGATTAAGGAAAATGCAAAAGAATAGTTAAGCCAGAAAACAAAAAGTTGGATTTCACTGAAGAAGCATTAAAGTGACTGAGTGTTTGCTGATTACACTATTTTAGTCTCTTTAGTAGCAAGCTTCCAACAAGCTGCCCTCTGTGGCATTCCTCCTTCTCATCCCATCTGAAATTTTCATGAAGTTTAGGCAAGGGATCATTTAAACACACACTTCATTTGGCTCTACATCAGATTTTGTTAGAAACAAGCTGTTAGGAAAGCTAAATAAGGCCATGAGTTTCAAAACTGATCAGGATTTTTTGGATGCCTCCATTTATGATTAATAACTTGAGATACCATGAAAGGGCTGAATAATATGCAGAGCTCCGAATGCATGCTAAGAAACAGGTTGTTTTAATCTGGGCAGTCAGGAACTAAGCCACTCAAACTCAGTAGTCACCTCTAAAAATTGTTGCCATGACCAACAGAAATATTGCCAATGACAGGTTTTGGGTTTGTTTTTTTTTTAACAAAAATTTAAAGCTGTTTTAAACAGATAAACACTTCAAGGAAGGATCAGGCACTGAATACAAAAGCACTGACAATGTGATTCTTATCATCTGAGCACAGAAAAGTTCAAGTGGTAGAAGAACTAGCAGAAACACCAGACTATGCACTGGGTTGCAGAGTTCCCTCTACTGACATCTTACAAGATTAATGCGGGAAGACAGTAGACAAGAAGCTGCCTCTGTTAACAAAAGATGGTATTTCAGTTAACAGGGATATTTAAGCCTCTAGGAGTCATTGTACTGAGGGCAAATTATTATCCCTTACATGCAGGCCAAAATAACTGGTCTCTAATTTGTGCTACAAAACCCATGCTGTCAGTCATATATTCAGCTTTTCCATGGTCTCCTTAACCACTGCTCTCTTTAAGGTTTGTGTGCATCTCTGCCTGTGATTTCAAGACGGCAGTTCAATAGCTGGAAATACTTGGAGCAGATACAGAAGTCACGACTATTCACAAATATTCTTGATATCATTTCCAGACACAAGTCTCTTGTCTCCTGGAGGTGACATAGACAAAGGGAGAAACAGAGCTGACCAGGACAGCACAACTGCTTTTGACTTTCAGCAGGTTTCCTTCGCAGTATCCTGTGAAGGCTCACAGGCTCACAGGCACAGGACCAGTTTGTCCAGTTCAGTTCCTTGAAGAGGCCAATCCCAGCAGTGGCACAAGCTAGGAACAGACAGACAAGATGTACAAAACTGGGATCTTTCTTACCTTACACTTGAGTTCATACAATGGAGACAAACTTGTCCCAGCTTTGTCCTTCTAGCCATAAGGGTAATGCCAACAAACGTTAAGCAGGAATCTTAACTTTTCAGGACAAAACTATTCTATGCTCTCTATGAAAGTTGACCATGCTCCTCTGCTGCTCAACCAAAGTTCATGCTTGAATTTACAGTGAATGCTGGGAATGAAACAAATTAAATAATTCTATGCTATTTTCTGTAATTAACGTGACTTGGGAATAAAAGAATAAAAGCAAAATTTAGAGATTTTCACAGTTTATGGGGAAGTCATGAAGGAAAAGCATGAAGAGCTGCATGTTGAGTCCTGTTTGCTTCGTCTTAGCAGCAGCCACCTCTGCTACATCATTCAGTGAAATAGGTGCTGTTCAGTACAAATAAAGGAACCAATTCCATTTCCCAAGATGTAATTTTAGAGGCTTTCTTTTAAAGACTGGATAAATGCACTGGGGTCCTAACTGCTAGGGTGCCCTCATGACTCTCCCTTACATTCTTTGAACCATAGTTGCTCAGTTTTCCTAAACTGGGGCGGGGGGGCTGATTTTAATGGGAACCAAATGTCCAAATCTCTTAAATTGCTTTTAATTCCTAAGCTCTAAAATATATGAGTGTGAGTTGCAATTGCTACACTGAACATTATTACAGTTCCATGGAAATCTTACAAAGTATCAAGGTTTGCTTCAGTGCTAAGCACTCTTATAAAGCTGACTTCCACTGGAGTCATTGGGAGCTTGGGTAGAGCAAAGCAGGAATAAATAATGAAGTACATTCTTTTCCATCTATCAAGTGTTATTTTTGGAAATTCAGGATTGTTCCTTCAGTGCTCTCAGAGGAAAACTGGGTCAAAGTACCACAGAGACATGCCACTAGGCAAGCAATCTAGGCAATTAGTTTAGTTATGGGTGATGAAATATGTTTATCAAGACAAAGGCTGGTGTATGTGTCTAGGATTCAGAGGACCTGAGTTTAAATCATACTGTCAAAGACTTAAGACGTGACACTGGGTTAGCAAAGTGGCCTAGACTGAGGTAGCTCAAATTCCAAGTAGTTCTGCTTCTAGTATTTTCTGTAGGCTAGCTCTGAGCCTTCAGAGGCACCTAACCACCATACAACACCAGGCTTTGAAACTTCAGGCGAATTTTAGGACATAAAAGTTCTCAAAGTCTCAGTTTCTTCCACAGGAAACAGGGGAAGAGGACTGACCAACGTGGCAGGTGCTTTAAGAATAAGCATATTACAAACTGAAAAGTGATTAGATACTGAATTTCAATGTATAAACATATTTGGCATTATCTATCCACTGTATGAAATCAACATCAACACAAAAAGAAATGCAGACACTCTTATTTTATCAGTACTTACACAAACTCAATATCCATGCACACTTGTGCAAAGCAGAAGTACCAATCCAAAAAGCTATTATTCATTACACTACTAAATTTCTTTTTCTTAAATAATTGAATAGTTAATCAATAGTCCAGCAGAAATATAATGAAAATATTACATTAACAACACCTAAAAACATTGCTGAAACAGTGCCCAAATCCAGATAATTGCTGGCTCCTTTTCAGAAAGGTCAACTTGGAAAAAAATTATCTGTGATTTTCTGCCCATAATTTTGTACTGGTACTCAACTACCAGCGTAAAATTGGAAGCCAGCCCTTTGAATATTTGGCCCTTTAAGCTATTAATCCAAACTCAAGTCCACTAAAATTCTAGCGTTCCTTGTAGCACCTAAGCCCTGAACTGATCTTCCAAGCCCTGCCAGTTAGGACAGAGAGATGGCTGACATTCCACTGGCGCTTTCTGCCATATGCAAGTTGGCATTGACAGGCTTCAAAGGCAAAATCCATGTGCCCTGCAGTATTTCAACAGAAGATGACCTACTGCAAGCTAAGAAATCCTCCTGGGGCAGTCATCTCTGAACCCTCTCAATTAAAACATGGTAAACAAGGAAAGTCAGAAAGAGCCACTTTATGTATTTGCCTGCTTAACACTCCTGCCCTGATCTCACCATCTGACCGTTGCCATAAGGGGGTGGCAGAGAAAGCCAGCCAGTGCTGCAGTGTCCCCCGTATCGATCCCAGTCTTTTTGCACAGTGGAATTTTAAAGCTGCTGAAATTGTGTGGGGAGTCACATTCTCTACTGATTTAACAGTATATTTATATGCACTATCCCATGCATATTTCAGATATTCCTTCATATACATTATTTCAGAAGAGAAAGTAAGCTGACACACATCAAAAAGCTGATCTCCTGAGAACTCAAGTTAGCGTGCTTACATATAGCCACCCACCTAATCCATGTTCAAGATGTCAAACAATTACAACATATGCTTCCTTAGACCCAGAAAGACCTTGTATCCCCAGAACACCCAGGATAAATAAAGCAATCTAAGTGCTACAGGCATGCCCAGATGAGGAATAATATGTTTCTAAGTATTTAGCTACAAAACCCCAACCATTTATTCCAACAGAATTTTTTTACAGCATTTAAACAGTGCACGTGAAATTGACCTGAAAATGGGAGTAACAAGCAATGAAATATAAGGATGTTCAACATATATGCAGTGAAATAAATTAAGTATGATTCTGTGAAAGTGCTGTGAAAGTTAGGAAAAAAAAGCATTGTTTGAAAATGTAGAATATCCTTTATGGTTATATTTTTAAAAATTACTTCTATTTGTCAAGAGCAATTGGTCCCTTCTTTTTGTCTTCATTTATCTCAGAGGAAAATAAAATGAAACAAACAGCAAAAAAGTCCCAAGTACAGTGAACAGCTGAGCCAGGGACAAATTAAGTAACACAGATTGATGGCTGTTGATCTACAGCAGTACTATCACATCCCAATGCTACATC